TGTAAACTAATTTTTTGTAAATTATGATTTCTAAAATTAATCACTACCATATTAAAATAGGCAATGATGTAATACTAAATATGATGGGCCGTTATGAACATGTTGAAGATTTAAATATAGATACAAATTCATTTCCGGTTCCAGTAAGAGAATCATTGAAAGCCCGGAAAACAGTTGACGAAAACTGTTCATATGCTTGATACAATTAAAAAGTCCTGATTATTGTTGTGAAATGTGAGACGTGAGTCACGTCACGTGATCAAATTCAAACAAAGAATTAAATACAATGAGCGCATACCTGCATACCATAATTAACTGTGATCTCATACTTAATAACAGATAAGAAACCTCATATAAACTGAGAAGCTGATAAAGTGATTAAAGAAATACGAAATTAGATATTATAATATTTGCTTTTTACTGTTAATCTGTAGATGTATCTGAATATTTTTAGAATATCTAGTCACCCCCAGCTAGAGAAATCTGAAAAAAGACCCGCAGAGGCACCACCTGATTTTGTATCTGAATGTGGGCTGTTTTAAACATTCCGTAGGTTTAAGGTTTGGGCAAAAATCTAAGATTAAAGTTATAAGTTATGGAGGTTTTCCGCTTGTAATTCTATTAAGATCTAACTACATCAGCAGCACCAAATCTGCAGCGAAATGAACTTTACTTCATTACAATGCATTAGTGTGGCAAGATTGTCTATTGAAAGTGAAGTTCCGGCCGAACAGTATATATCTGGAATTTTTTAGGGAGCTTTATCATGATAAAGTTTATTACAAACTATTATTATAAAGAGTTATTATTATAAACTAAGTTTAGATTAATATTTTCAAATCATCAATTGAACCATATAGAACAAAAACGTATCTTGGCTGTAGAACGAGGTACGAATGATAGAATATTATGAACGTAGCTACAGCAGGGTTTGATAATTATCGTATGATTTGATATCATGCTATGGGATTGATTTCATACAAGACTGTGGGTAAGCCTCATTTAATTATCAAAGTAAGCAGGTCATGGTTAAGCACGTGCCGACGAACGGTAACCTATCTTAATTGCTGTACCAGTCAAGTTTGGATGTTATAATATACCAAATGGCTTGGGGTGAAGTCACTACATCAGCAATACTGTTCATTGTTAATGTGCTGATGTAAATATGATCTGAGAGATAAGATTGCTGATAATGGTTGTAACGTGTTTGAGTGAACTTGCAAGAGATAAGTCATAAGTGAATGGTGCAACAAAAGATTAGACATGTGATAATGAGTATTGATGGTGTTATGAAGTCAGCAAGTAACTTGGGGTTGATGGAACCTGATATAATTCAGGTTGTTTTAAGTCCAAACTATATAATATACGTACAAAACAAAAAGTGCAACTCGGCACAACCGAGAAGAAAATAATTTAATTAATATAAAACTTATTAATAAGTTTAATTAGGTAGTTAAATTGTGTCCGAACATAAAATTTGTTCGGACACAATTTAAAAATCGGATTAAGTGGGTCCTAAACTTACTGAACACACAATATGTTAAATTAAGGGTTGCTTCGAATTCGGAAAAGTTGAAGTATCCTAACACAACAAAGAGTTTCTTAACTTAATTAGAAGAATACGGAGAGCATATTTCCATAGTTTAAAAGTTTAGAGCTGAAACAAGAGCCCTTGAAACATGTCGGGTACGGAATCAAAGAAATCAGGTTGCGAACTTTCACCACGAATCCATCTGATTCGTTGAATTGTCTTCAGTGGTTCGCCCTCTAAGTGAGACTTAATAGAATATGAAAATGTGTAAACTTCACTGTATTTTACTAAATGTAACAATAAATGCCCATTGAAACTGACCACGCATATGATTTCATTGCCTAAAACTCACGTCTATTTGTACTCGTTGAAAGGCGTAGAGAAGAAGCAATAAAATTGATTCAGCGAAGAGTTGACATAATCAAGTATTAGTAAATGTGTAGCCAACAAATGGAACACAAGATTCAAACTAAGTAGCCACTCATCGCATCATGTTGTTCAGGTAATTTAAAGGGTTTAAAGGGAGCACGTTCAGTCCCTCATTCATAGTCAATTGTCAAACAAGAAAATTACAATACCTCACAGAATTTGTTGTATAATAGCTAGCTCAAAACGGGATCACGAAACAGTTCAAGTCTGTCTAGGACACATGCAGTCTCGAGTCTCAAGATTATACGAACTCTACCACTTACACCACTGAAACATGGATTTACACAACAAATGCAGATCATGAGTGCTGTGTGTTGGAAGTTTAGTGTAGAAAGACATTAATTTCTCAGGATAGCTAACGATCTTATTGAAGTGGAGGGTGTATCGAATATACTAACATCTTAACCGGGTTGACAGGAATTGGCTGTAGAAATTGGAGTCTTGACCTAATAATAGGCAAAAATATGCCTCCCGATTCGCTAAGATCAGATGGTTGAAACTATTACCAAACGTCTACTTGGAGCAAGATACCTCTCACAGTAAATTGAGGTCAAAGTTATTGAGGGGCAAGAGATAACAGACCACAGAGTACAGAGGCAAACTTAAATTATAAGATAAGGGTTATGATGGATTTGATAACGAACCCGAAAAGTGATAGTCGGATTCCATCCACATTTAAATTTAGAACAACAGTTCGCAACCAGGTAAGCAGTCTCAAACATTACTCATAGTTACGCTCACGTAGAAGAATCGCCTACAAATAATGAAGAGATCGACCAATATAGTGAGATTCAGCGCTCGATTCTATTTATCGATTTTGAAAGCTTGACTCCTGCGAGTTGTATTTTATATTGTTATTAAAGACGCGCACTCCGTATAAATACTCACATTTATTGTTTATCATTTATATTGGTTCATGATTCAGTAACTTAACTTTTTATTGAAAGAACAAAGTTTTATGAATTTTATCTATTAATGAAACATGAGTTTCATTTTGAGTTGTATCTAATAGTTTTTCTTTTACAGTCACTTCATTTTTGATTTGCAATTTCCTTGCGCGCGCAAAATAAAAACTTAAAACAGGGTTTTACGATACAAAAATATTTAATACATGGTTTCATCCTCAGATGGCAAAGAAGCGTTTTATAAATTTTTGTTCCACTGGGAAGTTTAATTAGGTTTTTGAAATAAAATAATACATAATAGTTTTGATACAATTTTTATATTGTATTTGATACATAATTAATGTTGGTGCGTAGTGCATAGTGGGGAAATATTTGTTATATATTTACATAGTGCGATGATATTTTATAAACATGTGTGATGATGTGATCAGTGATGTAACAAATTTTACTTTATTCTATTTAATAATTTATTGCACAAGTGTTGATTCGATTCACAATTCATTATTCATTCAATTTTATTACAGTTAAAGTAAATTAATTTTGTTGTTTTGTTTGGTGGACAATGTCAAATATTCACAACGGAGAGTTTATGATATTAAATTATTTACAAAGTTATAGTACCACCAACTATTTAAATCGAAGCAGGCATTGCATTGATACATGTTACGTATCCCAAATATCAGAGATATATATGCTTTTTCCGCCTTCGGCGGCCTTTTTCCGCCTTCGGCGGCGCGCGCTTCGCGCGCGAAAAGTGGCATGCAACGTATGTCAAGCATTGCATGATAGCGCGGCACAGAAGAAAACAATAATTTCAAGAAATTTAACGAAGTTCCTCAAAACAATATTTACCTGAAAATATCAGCAATTAAGTTTAATTATTTATATAATATAATAACCAAGGCGAAGTGACCGATGCTGTCCTACAGTAAATTGGATAATGTTAATCACTTTACACTCAACTGTCACGTGACTTTTTAACACGTTCTCTACATCTCTAGATAACCCTGAATCACTATTCGAATTACCTGAGGACCCCAGGCTATTATGTTCGTTAACATATAATATATATAGATTTGGCGGAATGACAGGCTGAGCGCGGCCCAGTAATATTCGAAACCCAAACCCTCTACACTGACCCCAATTTAAACCCTTATCAATCCCTTACTCTAGCATATGCTAAAACCTTAAACCGAATCACTCCCATGATGTAGGGTAAAAATGCTTCCCTGGAGAGTTATGAGAAAACAACTGTTTGGTCACTTGACATGCTAGTTAAACACTAATTCGATTGTTTAGGGCTCGAGTTAGGGTTAGGGTTGTGATTAGGGTTTATGTAAATAGTAAAACCTGTTTTGTTTGGCTGCAAAACCATAAAAACCAAGTCACGTGATAATTTTAAGGCAAGCAAATTAGTAAGAGCCCACATCTATACATCATGTGGGTATCATCACACTATTATAAATAGTATAGGCTTATTATATATAAGGCTTATTAATACAAAAAATATAAATATTTTCCCACCAAAATTAATAATTATAAATACTGTTTTGGAAGATTTTTTGAAAAGAAGCTTTTCTGCCGTCCCCTTGACCGAAATTTCATGCTTTTGACTGAAATTTTGACCAGTAACCAATCAGTGAGGTCAGTGAAAGTGACACAAGTCGCCATCAAGGTACTGGATGTCCTAGCGGTAGGACATATTCAAATTTCAGCTTTCCGCGACCCAAATTTCACTGTTTTGACTGAATTTTTCTTGAATGACCATCTTACAAGATCACTGAAAATGGCACAAGACACGATTGAGGTACTCAAAGTTTTATTCCCAAAAGAAAGCTTTGATAAACGGAAAATCATAACAATAGAAGAAGAGATTTTTGAAGATTTTTGTTGTTTATTCCTACATATCTGTAAATAATTGGAATTGAGTTTAACTTAAATTATTTTAAGATTCCTACTATATATATTCGATAATGTAAATACCACTTTTGTAGCATTGTATACAACTTCCAATCCTTTAGCATTTCAATAATGTTTGAAATTCAACAAGATTTCCCCTACACTCAACAACACTTGTAATCATCCTCTAATTTTTGAGACAATAAAGATATGTTCTGTTTAAGAATTTACAATTCAGGCTATAGAGATCGATGGCGGAAAAGGAGAATTACTTCTTTCGTGCCACGGAAATGAAAATGGTTGAAATGTTCCTGAGTCAAGAATGTGCATATGAGTGTGTCAAGGAACTGGGTGAACTGGTCAGTTTTTATATGCCAACAAAATTTTTGAATAATTTGATTTAAAGGCAATTGACGAATATTTTACTTATAAGAAAATAACATAAAAACACTGTTGATTATCTCAATACAATGTGCGAGGGTGTAACATAAAATATTACAGGGAATTGTGCAGTTTGTTGACGTGAGTTGAAATTTTCAGATTATATATTTTTTAATTTTGTGAGCCTTTCCAAAAAATGGCTGTAAATGCATTATCTAATAGAAGGATTTTTTTAACGAGTGAATTCTATTTAGTTGGTGAAAGGGACAAATTTGTTTCAAAGAAGTTTCGTGCCCGAACTGAAGAGAGCAGATGAAATGGAGCGCCGACTCAGTTAGTTATCATCTTATTCTTTATTTTTTGGAATTATGTGGACTCATCACTTTCTTTAAAACCAATCCCGTCCTTATCACTAACCTGTTACACTTACCCTAAACTGTACGAGAACGGATAATTTTGATGTTTCAGTTGCTAAATATTTAGCACTCACATGTACTCCATACTTCCATAGGACTATCAAATATTTATCAGAAATTTGATATTTTACAGTACCCTCCATATTCTGGTTACATGTTTTGGTATTCTGTCAGGATACATAGCAGCCGAGATAAACTCTGAAGGTATCCAGGTACCAATAGAATACGAAATACCACCCGCCCCAAACAGCACCGCTACAGAAAACGATTTGGAGGTAAGAAACTTGATTTCATTCCGTAAAAGCTATTTATACTTCAGAAAACATTTCCCATAGAAATAATAAAATGTTTTAATTGAGACGTTACTATTCAGACGGTGGTCGCCAACTTCGAAGATGAGTTAAAAGAGGTGAAGACGAATTTAACGTCTCTCAGAAGTAGCTTTGTTGATTTGATGGAGCTCAAACAAACCCTTCTAGCTGCAGATACCTTCTTTCGGAAGGTTAGTTATTGGGTATCAAGTACAGAAAACTGATTAATTTCGAGCGTCTTTCAATTGTGTTTAAACCTCGGAATGTGATTGGTTTCCTGACTCTTTATTTCCAGGGTTCAGGATCTTTGTGGAGCAGCCCAACTAACAATTACTCGTTGGAAGAAGGGGAAGAAGGACGACATCTTCAGTTTATTACTGGTGTTATTGATAGAAATAAAGTAGCCATCTTTGAAAGAGGTTTATCTTGTAATGGTTTTATCTTTTCAAATCACTGAAATGTTTATTATTTTAACAGTTAGTGACTCGTTTTCACGATATTGCAACACTTATAAAATATAAGCACTGGCTGAATCAGAATGTTCTTAATGTGGCATACAATTTCAGTGATTTGGAGGTCGTGTCGAGGTAATGTGTTCGTAAGGACGGTGGAGATAAAAGATACGATGACAGATCCAGAAACTAATGAACAAATTGAGAAGAATGTTTTTATCTGCTTCTTTCAGGGATCACAGCTCGAACTAAGGGTCAAAAAGATTTGTGACGGGTCAGTATGATTACTGGAATAGTGTTGTTACTGCACCGTCATCATAATATATTCGCAGCTACCAATTAAGACCATTAAGAACCCGCCAATATAACCATTATTTGCAGCCGAACGAAACGATAATATCTAATATTAAGCCAAACCCCAATCCTTGCCCCAAAACTAGCATAACCCTATCAACAATCTCAAATATAACCTTGGGAACCTTAAATAATCAAATTTGTGATTCATAAGTCTGCCACGTGAACAAAACAATTATTGTCCATAACTCCTCCATACTCCATAGGTGTGTCATGAGTTGACTCGTAATCAGTGTACAAAAATGCACCTATTCATACCATCAGAGCTCTTTTTAATGGGCCGAGCAATTTAGTGGGTGCGGGACGCGGGTTCAAGAGCGTACGGTCTACAGAAGACTATCGTTCTAAAACTTGATAGCTGTTGGTATTTCAGGAATGTTGGTATTTCAGGAATTAGTTAGATAATTTTTTATGACCTGGTGTAAAGTACGTATATTTGTGTAAGACTGCTTCCCCTCAATTCCTCAAGTCTCCTATATCTGCAATTATTTAGCAAAGGCAAGTTTTTATCTAAATCTTTTCAAACAATACATAATTATACAGAATTGAATGCTTCTAAATAAACCCAGTTATAAAAGGAGAAAATCGATAGTAGAAACAAGTAGAAACAATATAACAATAATAGCGTTTACCAGTAAATCTGCAGTCCATTAATCCTCACTCATGGTCCACAGATTAATAAGCTTCTCAAACAAAAGAGGGCAACAAAAATATTACATTTTGTAGCTTTGCCAGCAAATGTACTGAGTTATATGTGAACTCTACTCAAACTCTAAAGCACATTTCTTCGTAAATCTATCGAAATCCATGGATCAAACGTGAACTGATCTCTGTGAAAGTTAGATCAGAGGGTTCTTAATGGTCGGTCACTAGTTTTGCACCTGTACTAGGCAAGCAAAATCCTTTCTGCTCAATCTGAATTAAATTACAATTTCTGCAGTATGTTGTGCAGAGTTTACCCGTGTAGCGAAAAAGCGTCCAAAAGACACGAAGTTAGAGACCAAGTAACAACTAGACTGGACGAGATGGAGGACGTGATCTTACAGACAACAGAGTACAGAACTCAGCAACTCAGAGACATTGCTGTTGACATTAGAAGCTGGATTGTTAAGGTTAAATCTACATTTGTATGCGTTCTATCTTAATTGTATTCTCCGTCCTTTTTGACTCATTATACTCTACTCGTTCGCTCAAAACCATGTTTAACGCTACTCAATATCAAGGTTAAGAAGTGGAGGTCAATATATTACACGATGAGTAAGTTTAATGTTAACGATACGAGGACAGGCTTCATTGCAGAGGGCTGGGTCAAAACTTCAGATCTTGAAAGTGTCAGACAAGCTCTAAAAAAGGGGGCTGTAAGTTTTAGTTCTTGATTTTCTTTTGAGTTTTTTCATTTTTGGGTGTGATAATTGAAGAGTTTTAGTGCTATAATGTTTCAGTTAGGTTCAATTTCTTTTTTCGTCACCTTTATATCTTTGTATTAGACAGTTTTTGGGTTTTCCAAATAGTTTCTGATTATTCTGATTTGCGACAAATGATATTGCACTGTTAGGATAAACGACGTTTCAAAGTAACAACTTCTTATTCATGCTGACAAAATTGGTAAATATGTGAGAAAACTGTCTCATAAAATTTATTGATCAAAAATGGCTAAACGACAACAAATTGTTCAAATACTCGACTAAAATTAGAATCAAAATCTATATATATACACCACTACTCGATCTGCTATTCAATAAACTTAAAACATCCACTAAACAGCAAGTACGTGATTGTGATCGTGTGATGGAATGACATGTACAGTGATAACAGATGATAAGATGTATCTTTGTATTGGTACAGTCAAACTTTTATTATATACCGTGCCTCTGTATATCTGGTACCTCGATATAAGGCCCTAATGGGGTAAATTATAGGTTATTTTAGAGGCTGCAGATACTGGGATTGGGATTATGTGAACCTCTCTACACTGAGTTTTTTCTTCTATACCGTGCGCTTTTCGTTTCCCCCGAAATGCCCGGTATAGAGAGGTTTCACTGAACCAGGAAACATACAGGTTGTTGTGTGTAGACTGTAGTGTAACATTATAAAAAGTGTAAGCTGGCCTTGGCAATATAAATAGACTCCATGGTACGAATTTTTTGTTAAGATCGTTCCAATTACAAATGTCACATTATTACCTTTACCTTTGATACCTTTGATCTGCTTCGTCGAAACTCGACAGGCCATCAGAGTTGCTGACCACCCCAGAGGGCAGATGCCTCTCGATCGTTACGCCAGTCCAGTATAGAATTGGAGTTCGGTGATGTGAAGCCCCGGAAAGGCGGTTTATCCGGCAAGGAAAGCATGAATGCCGTCATATGATCCTTGAAGCCATCGTATCACGTATCTGACACGTATCAAAACAACACCTCACTAATTTAAGTCGATCGTATTCTACAGGGTGATTTAAAAGAGTGATAAAAAGATAATTTATATCAATACAAAAATTGTTGTGTATAAGTTCTTAAGTTAATGGTGGATTCTAAGTTTTAGAGGTTGCCATAACCAGTGGCCACCATAGCAACCATACATCGGGGAAAATTCCAATTAAAAATCCAGTGGGCCAGATAAGTAGAAAGAACATTTATTATATAACCTAACCCTGGGTCCGTACAAAGAACATTTATATAACCTAACCCTGGTTCCGTACAAAGAACATTTATATAACCTAACCCTGGTTCCGTACAAAGAACATTTATATAACCTAACCCTGGTTCCGTACAAAGACTATTTATATAACCTAACCCTGGTTCCGTACAAAGAACATTTATATAACCTAACCCTGGTTCCGTACAAAGAACATTTATATAACCTAACCCTGGTTCCGTACAAAGAACATTTATATAACCTAACCCTGGTTCCGTACAAAGAACATTTATATAACCTAACCCTGGTTCCGTACAAAGAACATTTATATAACCTAACCCTGGTTCCGTACAAAGACCATTTATATAACCTAACCCTGGTTCCGTACAAAGAACATTTATATAACCTAACCCTGGTTCCGTACAAAGAACATTTATATAACCTAACCCTGGTTCCGTACAAAGAACATTTATATAACCTAACCCTGGTTCCGTACAAAGAACATTTATATAACCTAACCCTGGTTCCGTAAAAAGAACATTTATATAACCTAACCCTGGTTCCGTACAAAGAACATTTATATAACCTAACCCTGGTTCCGTACAAAGAACATTTATATAACCTAACCCTGGTTCCCTCAGACTTCAGCAGGTAGTGTGGTTATGCCGATACTGAACACAGTTGGAACCAATCTAACACCTCCTACCTACCACCCCTCCATTAAACTTACTAAGGGTTACCAAGTTATTATAGACGCGTACGGTGTCGCTACTTATCAAGAAATGAACCCTGGTCAGTGTTTTCTCCGGAGGAGTCGTTAAATGTATTTAGTTATTTGAGGCATTAAATTGAATTGTAATGATGCCCCCTCATATTGTTTTACCCGACTTCAGTTGCAATACTTTGAGATTTGCCAGAGGAGGAAGTTGGTGCCATTTAACGAGGGCAGGCTCACAATTCTGACTTTTTATGTTAGGTCTGTTGGACCGCTGATTGCGATAATAGTTTCCTGTGTCGGCAGTGTTTTGGGACTAGTAGTGTGCATAAAATCACCAACAAATATGTATTTATAAATGGTGCTAAGATGTGCTTTCCCATTTCCTCTGAGATAACCTGATCAAAATCACGATTTGTTACTTTCTCTCTGACTATTAAAATTAGTAACAAATAAACGTTTCAGCCGTCTACACGGTCATTACATTCCCGTTCCTGTTTGGAATTATGTTTGGAGACATGGCACACGGACTTTTCCTCTTTTTATTCGGCGCCTGGTTTATCTATAAGGAATCTTATTTTGATAAAAGAAAACACTTATTGGACGAAGTAAGCAATGTTTTTAAAGTAATGAATTTTACGATAATTATAATGGGAGACTTCTTCAATCGTTCATGACCTAATAATTCCGTAAATAATATTCATGACCACCTTATACTCAGATCATTGCAATGTTGTACTATGGGAGATACATAATAATGATGATGGGGATATTCGCTTCTTACAGTGGTTTTCTCTACAACGAGATATACTCCAAAGGATTTGATATCTTCGGGTCCAGCTGGAGAATGCCAAACGACGACATAACGTGAGAAAATTTGTTACTTAAAGCGGCTAAGTCAAAATATAAATAAGATCCCAAAATTAATACTTTCAATAATATATAAATTTCGCTAAATATATAAACTTCACTGACATAAAATGTAAAACTAACAATATTCTTTAAATCAGGTATACATCGAGTGACGATGCAACTCTCGACCCTCAATACGACTATGGTTCACCCTACTACTACGGAATTGATCCAATGTGGATCATGTCAGAAAATAAACTGACTTTCCTTAATTCTTACAAAATGAAGCTATCAGTTATCCTTGGACTTAGTCAAATGACATTTGGACTTTTTATCAGCCTTTTAAACTATAGGTATTTCAAAATATCAGAATTATCCGTTAATTCAAAGAAAAATTAAATTTTAAAAATGAGATAACCGTTGCATGTACATTTGTGAAATATTCATGAGAAAAATATCTTGAAAATAATAAGAAATCATTCCCCAGGTACTTTGGAAAAGTTTTAGATATTTGGTTTACATTCATACCACGGCTCATATTTCTTATGTGTATCATTGGTTACATGTGCTTCTTGATTTTCTATAAGTGGTTCTTTGTGGATGCTGGAAAATCCAACCCTTCTATCTTGATAACAATGATTGACATGTTTTTATCTGTTGGATCTGGAATCGATTCTGACGACAAGTTTTATGAAGGCCAGGTAATTTCTCGGAATCATAATCCGATATCCTATTCCTAATCCGATATAATTGCTAATCTGTTTTCAGTGTGGCTACTGAATAAACAAATTGGGATATACACATCGTAGTCTGAAGCATATTTGCTTGTCTCATTATTCGTTTCAGCAGTTTCATTTCCGTAATGCTGCACGGGGTTTGACGTGAGCTAGTAACGCAAGAAAACGCTTGCAGTTACATTAAACTTGGTTTAATACATATTGCAAAACAAAAATAAAGGAAAATTCGATTCAAATACGATTGCATCCTCTCAAAAAACCTTATCATTAAACTTCGTTACTCGATACTCTTACAGCTTACTGTCTTTGTCTCCTTTACTTAACCAGATTGTTCTCAAACCTACCTAATAAATATGCAATAAAGTGTCTCCCTTTACCACACTAACATTTCTTCAGATATTAGTGATAATAATTTGGTGTATTTCAGGAACTGGTGCAGCTTTGTTTAGTTATTCTGGCGCTTTGCATGGTCCCTACGATGTTAGCAGCAAAACCCTTAATTGAGAGGTATCAGAGGCATAAAGATGTTGCTGTGAGTACAAAATACCTCTTTGATAAATAAGATTGGTACAAAACCATATTGGAATACGTTAAAAGGGGTGGGCACACGGTTTTACACGCCATATATTAATAATAAACTATCTTAAACCAGGAGTACGAAGCATTGTCGTCTGACAGTGACGACGAGGATTTGGAGGAGCGAGATAGAGCAGAGGAAGCGGCTGAAATCGACATGTGGGTCAATCAAGGAATCCACACGATAGAGTTCTGTCTTGGTGTTATCTCTAACACAGCTTCTTATCTCCGACTTTGGGCTCTTTCTCTAGCTCACTCAGGTACAGTTACTTATCTCGGAGAAGGTTGCGAGATATCGACTGTTTTTAGAAACAATCCAGATGTTTTCTATCAAATGGAGACTTTTACTTTAAAATTGTCACATTATTTTTCTGTGTAAACGTTGAGCGCGAATATATTTGTATAATAAAATGCTTCATTGTGCGCTGAGACATTAACATTTTATGATCGCGCGCTTATTAATTTTGTTTTACTAAATACACTGCTGTGCCGATCGAGCTTGTGAATCTTTCATATTATCCCATAGTTGGAAGAATAATCGTTCTTGGTTCTGAATTTCAGAGTTATCGGAGGTACTTTGGGACATGACAATGTACTATGCATTCTACTGGCTGGACTGGGATGAAGGGGGCTGTGTTTTACTGATATTTATTTTTGCTGCATGGGCCGCTTTAACTGTGTCCATTCTTCTTTGTATGGAGGGACTATCAGCCTTCCTTCATGCACTCCGTTTACATTGGTAGGTTGTCTGTTGTCACATAGCTTCTTTAAGAGAATTATGGTTATTGATACAATAGAGTATTTGTGAGACACAACCCAAACTTTTGATTCTAAAACTTTAAATCACTTCTGCTGCTAGTAAGTAAGAAATGAAGATAGGGATTATGTTTCGAAATCAAGACAGTAGTCTTGTTCCCAAGATTCACTACAAACTGATATTCTGAACAATTGGATTGAATATTTCAGAGCATAATTAATTGAACGAAGCCAATGTGAACAGTTTACACCCTGTGGCTTTCTTAGCCCGACCTAAAGTAAATTCGGGTCACGACACACGAATATCGAAGACTATTAACCCGATTTTCAGGGTCGAATTCCAGAATAAGTTTTACGATGGTAACGGCTACAAGTTTCTACCGTTCTCATTTGCCCTTATCCTGGAAAATGAGGAAAACCTGGAAGAGATATCAGCGATATAAACTGGACTGATCGTACAGTAGGACAGTAATTGAAACAACAGTCGTTATTTTCTGTAAATATATTGATCTGCAATTAACTAATTTTCAATGATCATGCTTTGGGGTATTAAAATCCTGTTCATAGACATTATCGATACTAGGTCAAACACACCATATTACGTAAGTGGACAGTTCAAACTAGTTTACGCGGGAAAGGAGGCACGAGCGTTTCCGCTACTCCTGATCTGGAAATTAACCAGGGTGCACAATTCTATACCCATTTGAACGGAAATCAGTCTTAGACTTTGAGGCATGATATCCAAAGGGTCAAAGAGTGTTATGTACCACACAACATTGTCACATAAGAAGTTTTCTTTTTTGAAGGTTGGGGCCCTTATAAAGGCCGTTTAATGTTGCAGTGGGAGCTGCTTAAAATTCCTGGCTCTGTGAGCTGGATTTTCCCTTGCCGGCTTTGGTGCTACCGGACTTCTTGGGCAGAAGGACTGCCTGGATGTTGGGCAGGACACCACCTTGGGCAATGGTTACACCGGCGAGAAGCTTGTTGAGCTCCTCATCGTTCCTCACAGCAAGTTGAAGATGACGGGGGATAATCCTGGTTTTCTTGTTGTCACGGGCAGCGTTGCCGGCCAACTCGAGGATCTCAGCTGCGAGGTACTCCATGACGGCAGCCAGGTAAACTGGTGCTCCGGCACCGATTCGTTCACCATAGTTTCCCTTACGGAGGAGTCTGTGGACACGACCTACGGGGAACTGAAGTCCAGCTCTTGAGGACCTTGTCCTAGATTTAGCTTTGGCTTGTCCACCTTTACCACGTCCAGTCATGATGAGAGTTAGAGTATTTGAGTCTTTGAAATCGTAGAATGAGCGAGAGAATACGTCGGGCAGGATTTTAAGGGCCAGTACACAAAAGTGCTTCTTCACTTTCCTGGATCGACGTGTTATTTTAGCGGATAAGTAAAATTTCACTGCCGCGAGTATTTTGGAGGCAAGAAATGTTATAATCTAACGTGATTTGAACCTTATTACTTCCTTTGTATCATTATATAGTTGTTTTGTCCTAAGATATACCCAGGTAGTCTCTAAAAATTGGCTGATATATCCATGCAAAGGTGCACTGGATTATTGGATAGTAGTATACAAACTGTCCGGTCGTCCTTATTTCTACAAATTCTAAATATGAACGGTCGTGCCTTTAAATTTGAGACGTCCTGTGTACCTCATTTTAAGATATAAGGTCTTTTGCGAGACATAATCATATCAAAATATAAAACTTCTCACTCCCTCTTCAATAAGACTGATATGCTTGAGGATCAATGCCTTTTTGGAGGTGATAAATTTAGATTTTTGGCATCACATACATTTCCTTGTCAAATTAAGACTATGGCTGTATCAAACGGCTACTATTCTCTGTTACAGTTTCAAAAGACAGTCGTATGATAGTTTGAATTGATCCTTCACTCACTGGAAATTTGTCAAGCACCGTTATTTAGAAATTTAAAAGTGCATTTCTTGCAATGAAGTTAAACGATACTATTAATCCGATGTGTGAGGCACGAACGTTTATTTACTAATATTGTAGATATTTGTAGATACGAGTTACCTAGGCACGAGAGTACTCATTAATACACGTGTAGAAATTAACGAGACGGCTACATCTCATCGTCATACATGGACATAACAGCTTTTCGAAGGTTTGTACATATAATGGAGTAGTTTTATATGCAAAAAATATCTTTAATTCTGAATCAAATTCATAATTATATAGAATGGCCGTTATCATACCGTCCTCTGTGGACGATTGAGGCACGAACGTACGTTCTCTTATTTTGTAGAAATTAGGGAGAATAAAATGTAGCAGGCACGCGAGTACGTTTTTCAACACTCGTAGAAATTGGCCACATAGCATAAATGTGTGTTTTGGAACTTAATTCTGTAGTTTAGTAAAAAGTATACTAAAACTTGGCTGACCAGACCTACAAATAATAAGTTGGAAAGACAAATACTAAACTTGGACAATTTGAATAATATTGTTGTACTGTAACATAGTACACAGTTAGACAAGTTTTCTTTTTTGATTTTTGTGGGGCTTTGAGAAAAGCCGTTGTTTGAAATCGAGCAGGCTCGAGATCAGGTAGGTGGAAAGCAGCAGGCTGCTTATCCTCCGAAACCGTACAGGGTACGACCTTGTCGCTTCAGAGCGTAGACAACGTCCATGGCGGTGACGGTCTTTCGCTTGGCGTGCTCGCAGTAGGTAACTGCATCACGGATCACGTTCTCCAGGAAGACCTTCAGGACTCCCCTGGTCTCTTCGTAGATCAGTCCACTGATCCTCTTGACTCCACCTCGTCGTGCAAGACGTCTGATGGCGGGCTTGGTGATACCCTGGATGTTATCACGTAAGATCTTTCGATGACGCTTGGCACCTCCCTTTCCCAATCCTTTTCCTCCTTTACCGCGTCCAGACATGTTGAATGTAGAGAGATTTAACGAGAGAGATTCGTACGAAGTGTTGTGAAATTCGAAAAGTATGTTACCACAAAAGCGCGTTGTAATATATACCCCACCAGCGCCTTCAAATATAACTTTGCGACGGAGCACATCACTTTGCCAATCCTGCGGCCCTTTCTCTCGGCGACGGTGCCCCCCTTCACTAAATCCACTGCTACCTTCATTAGGCTTTAGATCTCCGTTCCCAATTCGGGCTAAACATAACTTTACAATCTCATCTTACCTCATCACTCCACTCCACTCTCCTCCACCACCTTCTCCCCGCTGGCTACACCTCAACTCACTTTATCACACAACATTAAATACCACCCTCATCAACCTCCCCCTCTCGTGGCAGCCTGCCTCTATAGCACTATCAAAGCTCCAGCTAAGGCACTGCAGTCATAATATCCGTTTACCTCCTAAATTTTGGTTCGATTCGGATAGCTTTTTGCTCCGATGCTACCTCACATATTAATCTTCCCAATTTTATGCGATTTTTGTTGGGGGCCGTCAAACTCAGAGAGCTCTAGCCGACTCTTTTAAGTGATGTGGTCGATATAAATGTTCAGGGGACCTTCCTTAAAGGATGCCGTGGTTGACTGGATCTCAAGTGTTTGGCAAAAGAGGCAGTTCACAAAGTGAGCATCGACCAACCAAGTCCCAACAACAAACTCGGGGCGCCACCATGTGTCTGGGTCATATTTTTTTGCCGCCCCACAACACTTGGAGGAATTGGTCATTGTACCCACCGACCATCGTGAGTTACGGGAAAAGGTTTAAATTAATCCATGCGGTACAATCTGGGTGTACAAGGACTGTTTAAGCCTTACTGAGGAGGTCCTCATTTAAAAAATTTGACCCTGAAATCAGTTATCTCGAATTGAACTGGCTCCCAGGTACTGGTGGACCATCTGTTTAACCTGATGAACGATCAATAGGTAAGATGAAGAGATTTTGTATCATGTGTCGTAAGCTTCTCGCTCCACAGATAATATTTTTGGAAACACGGGCATTTCAAAGTTTGGTACCGTAACCGTCAGCTCCAGGAGTTATGGAGCGAGGAAGAGGCAGTAAAACACGTCGATCCGGTGAAGCGAAATTAGACGTTTTGATATACCCCTATTTTACCTTTGAAAAATTTAACTCTTTAGAATCTACAAATCAACCCCGAGCGTTATTGTAAATCAACCATCAAACAAGATGCCCGCCGCACCCAATAAGAAAGCTGCACCCAAGAAGCCCGCTGCCCACCCAATGTACAAGGACATGATTGCCTCTGCCATCTCGGAACTCAAGAACAAGGGAGGAAGCTCAAAGCTTGCCATCTCCAAGTACATCGTCAGCAACTACAACGTCGGTGACAAGATTGATTCTCACCTCAAGACTGCCCTTCTCCGAGGGCTCGCTTCGGGAGCTCTGGTCAAAAAGACCGGACTCGGCTGTTCTGGTTCATTCAAGCTGGCCAAACCTGTTACTGCACCCAAAAAGGCTGCACCCAAGAAGAAGAAGCCCGTCACCCCAAAGAAGAAAGTCGCCCCCAAGAAGAAGGTAGCCCCCAAGAAGAAGGTAGCCCCCAAGAAGGCTGCAACTCCCAAAAAGAAGGCTGCCACTCCAAAGAAGAAGGTTGCACCAAAGAAGAAAGCCAAAGTAACCCCCAAGAAGAATCCTGCCCCCAAGAAGAAGAAGCCCGTCACCCCCAAGAAGAAGGTCGCCCCCAAGAAGAAGGTAGCCCCAAAGAAGAAGGCTGCCACTCCCAAGAAGAAGGTTGCACCAAAGAAGAAAGCCAAAGTAACCCCCAAGAAGAAGCCTGCCCCCAAGAAGAAGAAGCCTGCTGCCAAGAAGGTAGCAAAGAAAGCCAAATAAGCGCCTCGCCCCGCTTTTTTGCTTTCCCAAGGCCTCGGGGACCCGATGTCCCGGTACGAGGTTTTACCCCTAACGGCTTTCATAAAAGCCCCCATTTATCAAAAAAAAACTCTTCGTATATACATTCAGTCAACACTGGTTAGTTCTAGGCTCCGCGCACGAATCTAGTCACCGAGCCGCTCAATTGATTTATCGGTACCCCGAAATTGAGATTCAAAATCCCACTCTTGAAGCAGGGCTTATCGTGGGTGGAGAGGGGCCTATTGAATCAGTACTAGCTCTCGAAGTATAGTATGCAAAGCAAAAGAATATGGCACCGGGAATTCCCAGGCGGTCACCCATCCAAGTACTAAACCGGCCTGCAGTTGTATTGTTTAACTTTCCAGATAGAACGAGATGGGGTGTATACAACAGAGTATGGCCGTATCCAACCACACTGAAATTTGGACGTATATCAACAATTTGATTGAGGCACACAAAATGCACCACAAGTTCGCCACCACTGCAGAATTATGTAAGTTGGGTATCTAGATTTATGTTCCAGAGTTTTTGATGGAAATCATAATGGGATAATTTACATGCTCACAGTACAAGGTAGGTAGTTAGTTAGTGTTTTCTTTATTGATAAGTGTGTGTGGCTTTAAGAAAAGCCTTTTAGTTAGAGAGATCGCGACCAACCGAGAGGCCGGACAACTCTCCCAAGGAGTACATCCATCTTACTTGGTAGAAGATGAAGTGTATTTGGTGACGGCCTTGGTGCCTTCGGAGACAGCATGCTTGGCCAATTCACCGGGGAGGAGGAGACGGACAGCGGTCTGGACCTCTCTGGAAGAGATGGTCTTACGCTTGTTGTAGTGTCCTAGGCGAGAAGCCTCTCCAGCGATCCTCTCGAAGATGTCGTTCACGAACGAGTTCATGATAGACATTCCCTTGGAGCTGATTCCGGTGTCGGGGTGCACCTGCTTCAGGACCTTGTAGATGTAGATGGAGTAAGATTCCTTCCTTTTCTTCCTGCGTTTCTTACCATCACCGGCAGGACGTCCGGCTTTCTTGCCTGCCTTCTTTTCGGCTTTCTTTCCAGCAACTGGAGGCATCTTCGATAAAGATTGGTCGGAATAGAGAGAGACTTTGTTTGAGAGAGAATTAAATAATAATGTAAAGTTCGCTATTTATATACAACTGATATCTTAGACAAAACGTGTGGACCAATAAGAACGCGCCAAACTTGCTGGCCGCTGATTGGCTGCGAAGTATCCGATGAGTCGGGCTGTTCCTACTATACATACGGGGCCTCACGAACTTTCAAAATAACTCAACGATAATCTTCAGAAGACCAAGTTTATTTTTTCACTTTACGAAAACAAGTAATCATGTCTGGCCGTGGCAAAGGAGGAAAAGCTCGATCCAAGCCTAAATCCCGTTCATCCCGTGCGGGTCTTCAGTTCCCCGTCGGTCGAGTCCACAGACTCCTCCGCAAAGGAAACTATGCCGAACGAGTCGGTGCCGGAGCACCAGTCTACCTGGCTGCCGTCATGGAGTACCTCGCAGCTGAGATCCTCGAGTTGGCCGGCAACGCTGCCCGTGACAACAAGAAAACCAGGATTATCCCCCGTCATCTTCAACTTGCTGTGAGGAACGATGAGGAGCTCAACAAGCTTCTCGCCGGTGTCACCATCGCCCAAGGTGGTGTTCTGCCCAACATCCAGGCAGTCCTTCTGCCCAAGAAGTCCGCCAGCAGCAAGAAATAAGCTGTGTGTGCAACTTCTCACCCTGCCCTCAGCTGTCTCTCTCTGCAACACGCAGGAAGCCCCAGCTTGGCCCAAACGGCGTTTATCAGCGCCACTTCACATATCAAAAAGAAAAACTACCTTCGTACAATTCAAACATATTTTTTCAATCCACCTACTCAGATGTAGGTTTTGCTGACCATGTATTTTGTTCAACTTACTGTCAGCTGGGGTCACTGAACAATATTCCAACATGATTCTTTTCCTTCTAAACTCACTTTTACTTCTAAAGTCACTTTTACTTATTGGACGATTGAGGCACGAACGTACGTTCTCTTATTTTGTAGAAATTAGGGAGAATAAAATGTAGCAGGCACGCGAGTATGTTTTTCAACACTCGTAGAAATTGACCAAATAGCATAAACGACATTTTCATTTGCCTCAATTTACAGTACAAAAAGGTAAACAGTCGAAGATTCACCCAAAATTCAATATAATATGGGGGGGGGGGGGGGGGGGGGGGGGTGTCACGTCCGTCTATGTCCGCTTGTCTCATAGAATCCAAAAAGGACTGGACAGGACAGGACAGGACAGGACATAGGCGGACATAGGCGGACATAAACGGACATAGACGGACATAGAATAGACGGACATTGACGGACATAGACGGACATATACGGACTTTGGCGGACATGAGCGGACATAAATGGACACCTAAATTGCTAAATAAAATGTTCAATTTTTGCTGTTATATTCCCTATATTTCGTTAAATAGGTACTGTGCCTATTGTGTACCCTGTGTAACTGTTTCAAATTTTCCAAGTCAAAAATTTTCAAACTTTTTCTGGAAACTATTTCTATTCATGTTTTAAGCTACCCTGATCATTATGAGCCAAAAATATTTTTTCGGTTTTTAGTCCGCACCTACCGTTCGATATATAATTTAGATAATATAATTTAGGACTCGAGGGTTCCCCTTTATTATGCAATCTCGAAAGGCAGGCCTCCCCTTTGTAACACAAGCTCGCAAGCGGGAGCTTTGCCTTCCAAGGTTCGTATCGAGATCGACTCGGACTGAAAATTTTCCAAGTCCAAAATTTTCAAACTTTTTCTGGAAACTATTTCTATTCATGTTTTAAGCTACCCTGATTATTATGAGCCAAAAATATTTTTTCGGTTTTCAAAGTCCGGCCGCACCTACCCGGCCCTTCGATATACAATTTTGGAATCGAGGGTTCCCCTTTGTTATGCGATCTCGGAAGGCAAGCTTCCCCTTTGTAACACGAGCTCGGAAGCGGGAGCTCTGCCTTCTAACTTCTAAGCACTAAGGTTCGTATCGAGATCGACTCGGACTGAAAATTTTCCAAGTCAAAAATTTTCAAACTTTTTCTGGAAACTATTTCAGTTCATGTTTCAAGCTACCCTGATCATTAATATTATGAGCCAAAAATATTTTTTTCGCTTTTCAAAGTCCGCACCTACCCTTCGATATACAATTTTGGAATCGAGCTTTAGCGTGATTAATAAGTCGTTTGCTTTGTACAAAATTATAATACATAGAAGTTGCGAAAAATTCTCAAAATGTTTGTCCGCTAATGTCCACCAATGTCCGCTGATGTCCACCAATGTCCGTCCGAGTCCGCCAATGTCCGTCCGGGTCCGCAAATGTCCGTCCGAGTCCTCCAATGTCCGTCCGAGTCCGCCAATGTCCCAAAAATGAAAAAACACGTCCGTTGTCTCATAGAATCCAAAAAGGACAGGACATAGGCGGACATAGACGGACGTGACACCCCCCCCCCCCCCAATATGACATTATTAACCTCATCTCCCAATACTTACCAAAATTATGCCACTAATATCAAAAACGCTATTTTTTGTGTGTCCTAATAGTAATACCTTCAACTTTCTCATTTCTGCATATCATAATATTAATAACAGTATATGTATCTAAAATTTTACTTTAGGCGTTATTGTTACATGTTGGCCGAACCGAAATCTATTGTTAAATTGTTGTATCTTTTACGAAACTTGATCATATTGATCCGACACATTCAGTTTTTACAATATTGACGTAAAATTCTCAAGGCAAATCGAAAATGTTGACTTAAATTGTTTTGATACGATATGAAGACATTTGTCTTTAAAGTTCAATGAGTATATGCGATTTCGGGATAGCAACGTTATTTATGAGTCGCATTCATACTAGTGTTTTCTGTTACTGCAAGAACATAAATATCAGAAATTGTGAAGATTCAACAAAAGAAAATGTATTACCATGTCATACAATTACAATGGAGAGAAGACTATAAAAAACTCTTCTCTAGGCCTGGTGTATAACAGCTAAAAAATTTAGAAAAACCTTGCACATTATCTGTGCTGCAAACACCTGTCATATGACGTATAACAAATCAGATCAGATACAGAACCCAGATATTTGTTCAGCGCAGTTATCTTATCTCACATCGTGGCTCGGGATTTACCCTGCCTGAAACGCAGTTGTTTTGGGCAGAGAAAACCGTGTAAAATATCTTTGAACTTTCGTACCATATTAATACCAATATAGCGCCTAATTTGGTAGTGGCTAGTATTTCCCTATCATGATGATATCACCGACCAGGGATAACAGAGCGGGAACTGACAGAGCCCAAACCATAGTCAGGTCCGGAATGTTTCCTACCAGGGTCACAAACACCAGGTACCAAACAGTACCCAGTGTCTCTCCAACCAACAGTAGCCCAAAATTCCGTGCCAAGTTCTCTTGTCCAATGTGTCGCTTGATAATAGAAGGCATGATGCTCATCATTCCAGTTGTAGTGGCGAGGAGGGTGCACACAATCAGGTACCAGATCTTATCCCTCCGACCGTAGTACATCAGGATCTGGAGGACTGCTGAAGCTCCGTTTCCCACTACGAGTAGTAACCACGTTGGAACGTGATCTCCTGCAAATCCCCACACCAACCTTCCTGCTGCTCCTGCTATCACTAGCGCAACACCGAAATTGTTAAGGAACATGTCGCTGTTGTCGTACTGTTTCAGTTTTAGAGCGAAATCTTTGAAGAGGTCAAACACGCATAGGTGGTTTATTCCTATCGTGATAGCAGTTAGGAACATCAGAGTTCCTGAAATATTAGGATCGTGTCAGTTTATTAGTTTTACTTTATTTATTGTGAATTTAGTATATATACTCAATTTACAATAAATAAAATAAAAACATAATAACATGCCGTATATATACGGCATGCCGTATATATACGGCATGTTATCTACTCATTAACAATAATAAAGTCAAATACAGCGAAAAAAAATTAGTTTACCTAGGATAGGCTTTGAAACGCGGTCTTTTTCATTCAAACAATTTTCTGTACTCAAATTTTCTTTGTTCGTTTCCCTTAAAGGAGAATTTTCTTGTACTTGTAGTTCCACTGCTAAATAGTCCTCTGTGACATCATTATCAATGAATATCAAACCAGGGAGGAGCAGGATGAATAGTATTGCAGCCAATATCAACCACATGTACGGGACTCGACTAAGAACTCTTTCATCGGTGAAAATATAGTCTCGTGAACTAGATTCTATGTTCTGCTTTTCCAGTGACCAGGGGTTCATGAATGTGCTACCGATGATATTTCCCCAGATTCCTGAGGTACCTTGGAAAATACCGTAAATCCCACTCACCAGCGAGGGGTGCCTGTATAGTATATAGTAATTAAAATTGTTATTTGTTATTGACGAAAATATGTCACTCCTCTCTCTAAATTCTAGTGTCAGTGAGTATAAAGGTTTGAGAGCTGATAGAGGAATTAATCAATAACGTTACCTTTTAGCTTTGTTAACTGATGTAGATACGAAGTATACGTGCAGCATCCCGTTACTCAGACCAATTCCAGCCAAGGCTATCGTCGCTGCAACGAAATTCTGACAGATCCAGAACAATACTACGCACCATCCGCACATGCTCAACATGTTGACTAAATGGAGGATCCTAGTGCTGATCCAGCGGGACAAGTACCCTTGTAACCAACCACAGCTAGTGCATGCTAGATATAGAACGGGGAGTTGCAGGTGCATCTGTTTCATTGTGAGAGCAGGGTTGTATTGGTACAGATAGGAGTATAAGTACACTTGTAGGATGCCGTATGAGAAAGACACGACACTAGTAGCATGGCCTCCGAGAAAACAAAGTATAAGTTGGAAATAGTATTTTGCAGACGGAGACATTTTTTCTTTGCTGAATTAAGTGGGTTTGAGAATTCAAAGTAAAAGTTCAAAGTTAGAATCATATGTACATGGCAAACTTATGTTTTGGGCTCATGTAATGTCCGTTTTGTCCGTGCGGTACCCTATATTTCCAAGACGGACAAAAAATAGGGCGGACAAAAATGGACAAAAAAGTTATGGAAATAACATTTAGATGCCTCTTTTCTACACCGATTAGACTCATGCTTATCAGTTATCAGTATTTGTAAAATTCAGTCGATAAATCAATTATAAATAAATTTGAGGTTCGTATTATATTAATTATTGGTTGAAGTACAATCCTTTATTCCAATTGCAAGTCATGAAATGGAGGCAGATATGTGCAACTTTGATTAACATTGCTGACTATTAATGATACTCTCCGAAATTCTTTACTGTAATGGACCGTTGACATTTTGCTCGAACCTTTTTGGTAATTTTAGACCCCGTTCCTCTCCTTCTGGAGCTTGGTAAATTTGATTTATTTATGAGCTAGACCGTTACATCAACCAATAAAATACGTTTCTTCTGTAATTGCGCCCGTGAATGAATAAATGTGATATTATGTTCCCTAACGATTTGTATTGAATTGCATCGTTTCGTATTGGATTGTATCGAATTGTATCAACCCTGTGGTTATTATCAAAGTGTATACTATGATCTCCGGCAAGGACAATATAATTATTAAATAACATCAAAAACATTATCAAGAAGAGCAAACTAGCACTAAGGGGTTGATCATCAAGAAGGTACGGTCTATGGAAGACTATTGTTCTTAATGTTAACAACTGTTGGTATTTCAGTAATTTGGGGTGACCGATAACTGAACCCTATCGAAACTAGTTTTGTCATATCATTGTTTGTCCATTAGCTGGTACGTTTTGAGCACGTATGTTTGTGTGAGACTGCTGTCCTCAAGTCTCCTCTGATCTGCAACTATTTAACAAGTGCCAGTTGAAACAATAGAAGATGTTGCCAATAAATCTACAGAGTATCGATTGAGATTCACAAACAAAGGGGAACAACAAAACTGTAAAATTTTGCAGCTTTGCCATCAAAGTCATAGTGCAGATCCGAAGGTTGCAGCTCTGTGGATCGAGCGAGGGACTGCTAAATAATCTGCGAGGACCTCTGTCATGTGAACTCTACCCTGACTCTTTAAAACCATTTCTAAGTCAACTGAAATCCTCGATTAATCGTCACTGTTTTGTACCCCTGTTTGACGTGATCTGATGTTGGAGCCGGTTAATGGTCCGGTTCAATTAGTGCGATGGCAAGTTCCAATCACATACCACAAACTGTTACCCAAGGGTGGCTTTAACCAGTAGTATGTTGTAACCGCAGGACACAGTATAACCTATTGTATTATACACTATGTGTTTTGCTTACCCCGACACCACTTTCAGTCTCTGTTATACGGTATAAATATTGATTAAGATATAAAAACTAAAAGGATTTATTCATTTAATTTATATTTATACTTAATGCCGTGGTGTCAGTAAAATGGCACGGATATATATATATATATCGTCTCGCTTTATATATAGTAAGATATATATTACTGAAATGTGTTTAAACGCATTTCAGTCTGTAACATATTGACATGTTTCTGTTACTGACTCAAAATGTGCTCAAGAATTTTGTGTTTAGTATTCTCCAATACTATGGAAAAGTTGTTACACGATATTTTTCATAAATAAAGTGATTCCATCCCTTTGTATGTAATTAAAAAATGTGTAGATTATTCTTTGTTATTGTACCTAACTGAGGATTGAAAGTTTGAGAAAGGACCATGGTCATTAACCGTGCTACCCATTTCTGCAGATAGCCTTTTACAAATTGTGGAGAAAATTTAAATTAAAAGTTACATTTTCGCCAATTTTCAAATTTTGGCGACAGAATCCTCGAATGAGTAGGTACAGTATTATATGTCATCTGCAAAGCAGCAAGTCTCAAATATGAAACACGGCGTTAATATAAGACCCAACGTATGTACACTGACTTTTGCCCCCCCCCCCTGTACATTTTGCATTATCATGAAACTCAGTTTAAGACATTACATAAGACACCTTGTTACCTACCTATCTATGGTAGGTAGGTAACAAGTTACCTAATAATAATTGTCGCGCGTCGTGTGAACAAAAACAATCGTGTAAGGCAATGTTATAAATATATACTACGCTGTTTGATAATTCAACCTGAGAAAATTTTGAAAATATTAAATAATATTGAACGTTTTGCTTGCCTGCTGTGGATTTTCAGACCACCCAAGTATCATCCATTAAATCACCTCTGAAAGATATTAATGTTTTCGGTTGCTCCCAAAACAGTGCAATTAGTTTTGTAATCGTACTCCCTGGAAAAAACCGGTGCAATTATGAAAATAATAAGTGGCCGTCAAATAGGTCAAAAGTGGAGTTATAGTATTAAATACTTTCAACTATATAACAAATAATTAGAGATCATGAATAAGATGTTGTTACATTGATACGTCGAATAATTCCTTTCCTGATAAGAGCCTTTTCCTTGTCGCAACAAACGGGATCAATACAAATTTTGCCCAAGATACAGTACTATATAGTATGTTATAAAGTAATAGTAGTACATGACTGATGACACGTTAAAGTTAAGTCTTAAAAATATTATATAATAAAGCTCGTGTTAATTGTGTATTCAAACCTAGGATTGCCTGCAATATGTAAAACTAAGGCAAACGTACTTTAACGCACTAACAAACCATGATGCACTTTACGCACCTTTCCCGAAAAATGTACGCACGAACCAACTAATACTATGCCTTTATTACTACTACTAGGGCCTACTAGTACTAAATAAATATTATTTAAACGAGCCTACTTGATAAAACGGTTTTTTCCTTACAATTTGGTTCAGGAAGGTGATTAGTGAAAGTGCTTTAATTTGTATACGTGATTAAGAATTGCAATTACAATGTCTCAATGTTCCTCAATATAATCTCCAATAAATTCAGATTTGCTAGTTCTCCAACTATAAACAGAAACTCCAACTGTACTAAAACCAAAAAAGGTAACCAACAGGCCCACTCTTAAGTATCCCCAGATAGTACAGGGTGGGCCAAAAGTCAGTGGGCATACGTTGGGTCTTATACCTCCGCAGTGTTTTATATTTGAGAGTTGTTGCTTTGCAGATGGCATACTGTACCTACTTGTTCGAGATTCCGTCGCCAAAATTTGAAAATTCGAATATTATAGACCACGCCCATTCAATAGTAAAACATCTATATTGTTTTCTCTGAACATGCTGGATGCCTAATTTTTTTCAGAGACGGTAGATTATTAATGTTGCATCTGATCTGAAAAAATGATGTGAAACGGATTAGGAATGACGAAATTATCAAGCATTTTGTGTACCTCGTTAGAAAAATTGATTGGGTGTTAATGTGACACCTTAATTGGGCAGCCTTAACGATTCCCATAATGTTGAACGGGGTGGTTAACGGGGTCACCTTATCACGTGATTAGGTAAGCCAATCACCTGATCACACGTAATGAATAAACTCGTTATGCTTCGTATCTCGGTCATCTGAGAAGCTACAACTCTAATTTTTCAGGACAACCTTAATTCGAATGGCCAAACACAATTCAATAAAATTTAGCTCGATCCGACTATCCAAACTATCAAATAAATGCGAAAATGAACCTTCATGTGAAAAAATAAACCTTCATTTGAAAAAATTAACACGAATATTTTTGCGTTGACAAATTCCTCGAACCAGTGGTGGTACTAAGTCATACCAGAAAGAATTATTTCAATTGGGCACTCAGTGACTGAGCTATAAAGGCCAACGTATGGGTACTAACTTTTGGCTCACCCTGTATAAACAATCTCCCACTCTCACTAGCAATCTCTAAACAATTCCTAAACTATCATCCTTGTAACCAAAACAGAGGTGTATGGTTTTTTATTTTATTTTTAAAAATGGCCCTCCTCGGCCACCATAAAGGTGTTAAAATAAACCCTCTGATAATCAAAACAGAAATGTTAAAATGATAACTCTCTGCTCCCCAAAACGGAGGTGTTAAAACGAACTCTCTGCACTACCCTGCTGTACTAAATGTCGTACACTATTATATGCCCTAAAATGCTACGCTAAGATGTTGGAAAAATACACGTTAAGTCTTGAAATTGTTCATTCGGTGTCATTTAACGGGTGATAGTGTGATACTCCTAAAATATTTGTTCCACATTCCAGTATCAGACCGTCGAGTGTCGACAGTCGACGAGTCCAAATCGGCGCGCGTTTTAGTAGGTTATAAACCTTCAAATTGTTATAATGTATAAACAATAGGCTTGGGGTTCCTAGGCAAGGCCATCCCGCGCGCGTTTACCTTGCTTGCTGCTAGTCTATTGCTCGCTCCTCTCACGTATAATGCAGGAGGATCTCGAAAAGAGCGCCGTGCGTAATTACTGGGCCGCGCTCAGCCTGTCATTCCGCCGAATCTCTACATAATAGCCTGAGGTCCCCAGGTAACGTGCATAAGTAATAAAGCCAAAGACAGGCACGCCTGAAAAGTTAATCAAACAAATTCGAAGATCAGTCACGTTCGCGAATGTGGAATGACGAACCAAAAGTTCACAACGCGCGCGGTGTTCATACTTAAATAATACATATAATGCTTTTGAATACGACGCTGGAAACACACAACGTAAGTGCATGGGTTGCTCTATCCAGAGCCCTTGCGCTTGCAGTAGCGCGCAGTAGCGCGCGCCCGCCTCACGGCACCCACCTCAAGATCGGGTGACAGGGGGAGCTGACCAGTAGTGTAAGAGGATTTTTTCGAGCTCCGTTTACCCCTAAAATTGAGGCACATTTAGCTTTAGCACAGTTGACTAATCTGCCACATTTTAGCCAGAGGTTACAAGTTCGAATCCCAGTCGGAGTCGTTCTCCAATGTGATTATATTATTATGGTACACATTTTAACCTAGTTTAACCCATATTCAAGCAATCTAA